TTGCTTTGTTCTGGGCATGCACTTGGGTCCCTTTGGTACCCACCCTTGGTGAGCAGCGAGGCCGTGGCTGTGCTGGCAGAGCTGGCAGTCCCCACATTCAGCACTTGTCCCCAGTTCTTTGAACTGTGGATGTCCCAGAGGCTCTGGGGACAGCAGGTCAGTCTGGAAGCAGTGCCTCTGGGTTGGAGGAGTGTATGTCCCATTCCAGCCTGGGATAAACCAACCCAGTTTGGTTTTGACGCAAACCACAAGCAGAGCAGGAACCAAGATGGGTATTGCCTGTATGCTGGTGGTACTGCAGTGCTGGTGCAAGGCCCAGCCTCTTGGGATCCACTGTGGCAGCAGCAAACTGCTCCTGCTCTCCTGGCTCTGCTGTTGACTCCTTTGTCCTTCTCCTTTTGGCCTCCAGGACGACATGACCGACTCCCTGCGGGATTACACCAACCTGCCCGAGGCTGCACCCCTGCTCACCATCCTGGACATGTCAGCCCGGGCCAAGTACGTGATGGATGTGGAGGAGATCACACCTGAAATCGTGGAAGCCTTTGTCAGCGACTTTTTAGCAGACAAGCTAAAACCCGAGCCCATCTAAGGGGCCCTGTGCCAACAGACGTTATTTAAAACTAGGTCTCTCTTCCGCCGCTTGTGGATTCTCCAGCGTGTCCTCACGCCCGACCCAGTATCCAACCTTCTTGTGGTGCCTTGTTTTACGCAGTGAATCCTTCTCCTAAGCAAACTCCTTGAGATGCACTTTCAGCAGGGAGTTGTTGGCGTTTGGAGACTTCGCTTGTGCTTCATGGTGATATATTCTCTAATAACCAGGCCAGAACTGTTACCGTATCATTATTTTATACATGGCACTAGCTAGCAGGCAAATCTTTTTGCATGGTGTTCTTCCCAACGTATGCATCAGGCAGTGGGTGGGGTTCTTGGGGCTCTTTTCTTTCTCCTCCCCCCCTTCTTTTCTTTCTCACCACCCCTGCTGACTAAATGACTTCCAGGAAGCAATAAGGAAACTGTCCCCATCGCCCCTGGCCAGTTCTTTCTCTCCCACGAAAGTGCCCTGACAAGGCCAAGACAAAGTCTTAACTGCTGACAACCTCTGAAAGACCACAGCACAGCCAAGCTCTTCCTCCTGGGGGTGAGACCTTCCCTTGTGGGTTTTCCACCCCCCACTCCAAGCACCGACAGCCTTAGGCAGCGCTGGCTGTTGTGTCAGGGTCCATCCCCCTGCCATGGGTGGGTATTCCCTCTGTCCCTCCCACTCTGAGCCAGGAGGAGGATCACCACCGGGCTGCCCTCACCTTTTGTCTATTCCTTGTGCTCTCCCTGTCCCCTCTCGTCCCTCTCTCTGGTATGAATTGTCCTTTCCCCTCTGTGTTAGTTGATTGAGCTGTTTTTCGTAGGTGTGTCCCAAACTCACCGTTAATGGTGCTGTTCTTTAAAAAAAATAACCAAAAAAACCCCCTCCCAAACCGTAAGAAAAAAACCCTCCCTCCCTAACCCAAGCAGCACAGCCGAGCCCTTGAAAAGTGACATTGTAAAAACTGTACATGGTGATTGGAACTTTGTAATAAAACTGTTACAATGACCTCGTCCCGGAGGTGCCGATTGCTGTGTCCTCAGAGAGAGGAAACCTGTGTGGGGGAAGAGGAGCCCGACCCCATGGATAGGTGGCTCCAGGAATTGTGTGATCCCCCTGGGCTCACACAGCCCCGGCCTGTGCTGCTGTGCTGGCATTGGCCGGAGCTCCCCAGGAGGGAGGGAGCCCTTTGGCAGCCACTGGGGCGTTCCCAACCTGAATAGCCCGTGTTGTGCAAGCCACTGCTTCTCCCTTTCAGCTCATTAGTCAGCCATGGCAGGATTACGGCCTCCTCTTTTATCCTGCTGCAGCTTCCCGCCCTGCCGGGAGCTGGGAACTGCCGCCAGCTCGGCCTGTATAAACCCAGGCTGTGTTTTGCACGTTTCAGGGGTTCCCCTGTCCAGCAGTGATGAACTGACTGGGGAGCAGTTCCAGGAGCAGCCCAGCCCCTCCCAGCAGTGTGGGCAGGAGTGCTGGAGCTGGGACACCCCACAGCACAGCCACCCCCGGCCAGCCTGGCCGTGGCAGGGTTGGAGGAATTGTTGGAGCACAGGCGGGACCCGTTCAGGCAGCAGCAATCTGCTCTTTGTGACCCAAAACCACAGCCAGCAGCCAGGCTGGGAAGGACACAGGCTGTCAGCAGCAGCCTGGCTGGGCCAGCACATACAGGGATCTGAGGTCTCCATGGATCTCCTGGATGGAAGGGCTGGAGCAGGGAGGGAGCGGCTGAGGTGAGGCCAGCGCTGCTACCCGGCCCTTCCCTTCTCTCTAGCATCACCGTGTGGCCACCACATCCACTGGAAGCCACACGTTCAATCCAGCACTCTCCAGCCTTAAATACTCATTTACTACAAACCAAACAGCCCGAGCTGCTCTTTTATTAACCCTCAAGGAACCAAATGCAAGGAACCAAACAGTTCAGCCTGGCACGGGCAACTTCTGCCTGCCATCCTCCTGCTTGTGCCTCCACAGCAGCTGCCTCTTGCCCTCGAACAGCACGATGCCAGCAGCAATGGCAGAGTTGAGGCTGTCCACGCCTGGCACCACGGGGATGAGCAGTCTCTTCCCCCCCGTGCTGGCTGCCAGCCCCAGTGCAGCCAGGCTCAGGCCCTGGGTCTCCCCTCCGATCACCACAGCCACCGGGGCCCGTGCCCAGTCCTCGTAGTAATGCTGTGCAGCCAGCTCTGGGACTGCTGCTCCCTCCTCATCCTCGTGCTCAGGAGCAGCCTTGGGGCTGGATTTCACAGGAGCAGAGCCAGCCCTGCCAGCCCCTCTGGGCAGGGATGTGCTCCCTGCCGCAGCGCCGGGGTCGTTGTTGTCGGCCACGCAGACCTGGGTGCCCGCAGGGAGGTTGGTGGGAACAGATTCCCAGTCCAGGCTGGCGAGGATGGGCACACGGAAATGAGCCCCCATGCCTGCACGGAGCACCTTTGGCTCCCACGGATCCACACAGCCTGGGAAGAAACAGGGAGAAACAGTGACAGCACAGGGATCCCCACAAAGGTGGGATTCAGAGCTGCAGCCAACCATGCCAGCCACTCCTTAGGAGCTTTGGTGAACATCTTCAAGCACCTCGTTCCCTGCCTTACCCCCAGGCTACTCAAACTTTTCTCTTACCTTTGGTGAGCAGCACTTTCTCACAGCCTGCTGCTGCTGCAGATCTCAGAATAGTGCCCAGGTTTCCTGGATCTCGGATGTTGTCGCAGATGAGGAGCAGTGGCAGGGAGTTGGCGAGCTGAGCTGCAGGGTAGGACATCTTGGCAGGGTCAGGCTTGGAAAAAATGCCTGAGGAAATGAAGTGTGACAGGTTTATGACTGACCCACCCCAAGGAGAGGCCTGCTCTGAGAGAGCTGGCCCAAATCTCACTAAAGATGTGCTGGAGGAAGTGTTAGGAAAAACACCACCTAAAGGAAGTTTGAGCAGAGTTTGTCACTTGGCAAGGAAAACTTATTTTCCAGCAGTGCTATGTGTAAGGAAAGATTATTAAGAGAGTCATTATCCTAAATATGAAAAGTTTTCCTTTGGGCAGTGTTGCAACTGTTTCAGAGGCAACTTACCTAGAAGCCCCTGAGGAGTCACGAGGTCAGACCAGGTCTTAATGTCTTCAAATTTCACCTTAACCAAGCTGGCTCGTTTTATCTCTGCCTCAGGCAGCAGCTTCAGGTGCCCCACGGTGCTGAAGAAGAGTGTCTGTGGCACAGCCCCTGCCTCCAGTGCATCCTTGATCAGCCTGTGCCCCTCCAGCAGAACCTTCCCGTGATTATCCCGAAACTTCTTTGACTTGGCGATAGTCACCACTTTTCTGTGGAGAAATTATTCAGAGAATGTGGCTGTGATGTTCACAACACCTTTAGTCTGACCTTCATCAGCCCCTGAGAGCTTCTCTGGGAGGTCACAAAGGTGACCTGAGGGATGATCTGTCCTGGGAGGAAAGGAGCTGGCTCTGGGGTGACCTCAGAGCACCTTTCAGCACCTGAAAGAGAGCTGGTGAAGGACTGCAACAAGGGCCTGGAGTGCCAGGACAACGGGGAATGGCTTTAAACTGCCAGAGGGCAGGATTAGACGGGATACTGGGGAGGAATGCCCTGTGAGGGTGCTGAGGCCCTGGCACAGGTCAATCCATGACACCAGTACAGCTGTGACTGCCTCTGGATCCCTGGAAATGTCCAAGGCCAGGCTGGATGATGCTTGGACAACCTGGTCTGTGGGAAGGTGTCCCTGCCCACGCAAGGGGTGGTACAGGACGGGCTTTAATCTCTCTTCCACCCCAACAATTCCCCGGTACCCTCCCGGTACCTTCAGCCCGGCCGGGTCCCGCTCCCCGCGCTCACCCCAGCCTGCGGTCCCCGGGCGCCGCCTTCTCGTACCACAGCCCCTTCGCGGCCGCGCCGCGCTCCACGGCGGGCGGAGGCGACGGCGGCGGCTCGGCGGGGCTCTGCGGCTGCAGCACCCGCACGGGGCTCCGCCGCAGCGCCCGCACCC